TTGAGAGTTTGGAAAAAAATTCAGAGAAGAGCAACTAAGATGATCAAAGGCCTGAAGACTAAAACATATGAAGAATGGCTGCAGGAATGACTCCTAGTTTAAAAAAAAGAAGAAATAGGGGTAACATAATAGCACTATTCCAGTATTTGAGGGGCTGCCACAAAGAAGAGAGGGTCAAATTATTCTTCAAAGCACAAGAATGCAAGACAAAAAACAATGGTTGGAAACTGATCAAAGAGAGAAGCAACCTGGAATTAAGGAGAAAGTTCCTAACAGTGAGGACAATTAACCAGTGGAACAGCTTGCCTTCAGAAATTGTGGGCATTCCATCACTGGAGATTTTTAAGAAGAGACTAGACAATCACTTGTCTGAAATGTTATAGGTTCTCCTGCTCGAGCAGGAGGCTGGACTAGAAGACCTCTAAGGTCCCTTTCACTTCTATTCTAATGAAAAGAAGGACTAGGGGTGACATGATAGCAGCGTTCCAATTTCTCAGGGACTGCCACAAAGAGGAGCGAGTCAAGCTATTCTCCAAAGCACCTGAAGGCAGGACAAGAAGCAATGGATGGTGACTAATCAAGGAGAGAAACAACCTAGAACTAAGGAGAAATTTTCTGACAGAGCAATTAATCAGTGGAGCGACTTGCCTCCAGAAGTTGTGGATGTGCCAACGCTGGATGTTTTAAAGAAAAGATTGAACAATATTTGTCTGAAATGGTATAGGGTTTCCTGACTGAACAGGGGATTGAACTAGAAGACCTCCAAGATCCCTTTCAACTCTGTTATTCTGTTCTTTTAAAAATGCAACAGGTGACTAGTCCTCACAGCTGCATGAATAAATGGCTGCTTTAAATAACAAGTTGCTTCTATCAAATCAAACTCTTTGTCTCTTCTAATGGGAAACACCTCTTAGACACATGTTTTTTGGGGAAAGGGGGGCAAATAGTGTGATACAAATTCTGCCTCTTGGCACTTGTGTGAGTTATCACATTGTCCACTACAAAATGTCACAGTTCATATTTAGATGTTATGAGTTACATTTTGCTATTTTGGCACTGTGATGGGGAAGAAATGGAGGTAGTGACAGATTTTATCTTCCTGGGCTCCACAGATAGGAACCGCAGCCAAGAAATTAAAAGATGCTTGCTCCTGGGGAGGAAAGCTATGGTTAAGAATAAGTATCCATAATTTAGGGGAAAAGGGTGTTTTCATTCTCTGATTTCATTAACTGTGGATGATTGGGAATAAACTTGGATTAGTTTAAAGGAAAGGAAATTGTGTAAAGTCTAAAGTTTTGCATGAAATTGGGCACTTACTGACTTACAGAACAAAGAGTACTGCTTAAATGCTCTTTCAGCAGAATGTAATAACATTGATACATATTAATAAATCCAGCATTTTTCCTTCAAAAGCTTGTTTATTTGTAATTGACTCTAAAACACAATTATATGTGCTGTACTACTAAAGTGTTCACTCTATAAAAGGCAGCATTTTAGGGATACAATAACAACAAAAACAACAATACAGATATAAATTGCACAAGACAGCAAGTTTGATCCTAAAAAGATTACAGTGATTTTTTTCAGTTGTATTTCCAGAAGCATTGAAAATTGCATTTGTACAAGAGATCTAGTATCAAAAAAGGACACATACACACATACAGAGACAGAATACTTCATAATCTCAGTACATATTGCATTGTTTATTTTGCTTTTATACAGCTCCAGCAGGGTGTAGGAGAACTTTTGAGAGGATTGTGATGAAAACATATGACCAATAATTTTCAGTGGGATCTTCCATTTTCGGTCCTGGGCTATCAATTTGTGGTATAGATATAAACCACAGTATTGCTTTTTTGAAAGTGCAATCCTCCAAAATAACAGGATTCGAATGGCATCGTAGAAGATCAAGTGGATGCTTATTTTCTGAGCTAGCACAACATGATATGCTGACAATTTTGGAATATCTAGACATTTCTAGGCATTGCGTGTGTATATAGGATCTCACTCATTTTACATGGACCATTATATATGAGCAATGTAGTCTATACTAATATGGACAGAATATGTTGACAGAAGAGAGACATTGGAGCAACCTACACTGTGCATTTTGCTTATGTTACTTTTGTTTATTTACAGTAGATAAATGATTCTTGCTTTCCCTAAGGATGTGGATCAATTGAAATGCTAATTTGTAGTGTAGTTACAATTTGTAGTGTAGTGTAGAATGTAGTGTCCTGGAACACAGGTACAATATCTGTATTTAAGCTCATATATACATATTTATATAATCCCAACTCTTTTTTTCTGGTGGTTGTGATGAAGATAATTCTAACCCACCACATCTTTCTCTTTTTCTTTCTTATAGGTCACATTCATATAATATCAATATTTTCTCCTCCACCAGTAATTAGGCTTCTATTGGTTGTTCTTCCCCTTTTCCTGCCCTCAATTTTAAATATTTTTTAACATTTAATATGGAAAGGTATTTAGAAAGTACTGTCATATAGTCAGTCAATTGACCTAAAGCATCATCTATATTTGGAGTTTTCATCAGATTAATGAAAAAAGCACAAGGATATCATGACACTAACAGTGCCTCTTATACCATCTATGTGTCTATGGAGATTCTCAATCATCCAAGACACAGTTGTCCCAAAGGTGCTTTTTCAAAAGGCAACTGGACTTTCTTTGTTTTTGCTTGAAAACATTTCACTTCTCATTCAAGAATGCTTCTGATGAACTGAAGAAGCTTGGAGGAGAAGTGAAATGTCTTCAAGCAAAAACACACAAAGTCCAGTTGCCTTTTGAAAAAGTACCTTTGGGACCATATATGGGTGTTTAATATCATAAAAAGGCTAGAGCTTGTGTTGTAAAAATGCAATACATATTTTTCCATTTGCTCTACCCTTAGACACTCATGCAGTTGACCATCATGTTTCTCCAATTTGTTTCATACTTGGGCGTAAATGGGTTTCTCCATCTGTTATGAACTGAATCAAACTGCCAATGGATTGAGTTCTCCTCTTTCTCTCTTTTGCCCCAAACATGCCTTAATTAAGAAAGAAATGACTGAACCCATCCAAAAATAATTGTAATATTAAGGTTTTTTTTTCAAAATGTAGAAATGTAGTAGATTCAGTGCATTCCACCACATGACTTATTTACTAGACCAATGTTACTATACTGAAGTTGCCAGAAATGTTACTGAAAGACAGTAATTACTACTTTGTAATATTTGGTCTGCTCTGGACACTTATGTTTTAAAATGGGTAATTTCATAATGATCTTTCTTTGAAGCAGAGTGTCAAGATTCCAAGCTCTAGTCAAGCTACATCAAAATAATCCAGTTAAACAGCACCAGCAATAGTAATGGGTCTATAGTTTAGTTAATAATTTCCATTACAGATGATACATTAACTAATTCACTATGCTATTTTCTCAGTTTTTATATGGAAATGTGAGAAATATTGATCAAGGTATTTAGGGAATATTTTTTTTCAAAAATATAAGGCTTAATACATCTTTGACTTAATAACTATTCCTTTAAAATAAAATTTGTGTAATGAATTAAGTGCCTTAGAAGGTAACTAAGCAAACAAGCAAAACTCATAGAAAGAAAGAAAAACAAAGAAACACAGAAGAAATATTTATATTCTTCAGTGTTTCATTACAATAGAAAGTGGTAATTTCTTCAAAATTTGAGCTGTACTTCAGGAAGAATTTAATGAAGTAAACAAGAGAGCAGATAAAACATTCAGCTTAATAAAAGGAACTAACAGAGAATAGCAGAACAATAGTGGTTTAGAAAATCACAATATCACCCGATAAGAAGCCAAATTTAGTTTTATATATGAAATGGTATTGTAAAGCCATTATTTTCTTCCTTAAAGCACAGAATCAGAAAACAATACAGAAAAATAAACTGTAATCTCAGACTCCTTTTAAATATAAGTCTTTATCAAGGAAAGCCTTCTACCTATTTTCTCCTTTACATTTAAAACCAAACATTCAGCTCTCTTAACCATGACCTGCCTTACACTTTTCTTTAGACAAGAAATGAGTTAGTATATGTGTGCGCTTAACAAGTACAGAACACATGTACATAATTAGAAAATATAATCAATCACGGAACCTTCCTATTAGAGATTCAAAACCACAGGAAACCATCCTGTAGCTTTTCAAATCCTTTACCAACAGCCAGGAACTAAATTGATATTATTAGTATTGTATGAACCCAATAAACATTTATTTTGCAAAACTAAGTAAGGCTCAAGGCAATAACTTATTCAAAATACAATTCCAATTATTCCTTTCTTTTTAAGTCCCAGGAAATTACAGCCAGCCATGGGAACTACTGATGGGAATTAACTAATACTATTTTGTGTAATGTGAAGAATATTGCATTCTGCATATACTTAAAATTATACTGATTTTGTAAATCTGCCCTTCAGAAGCCATATCTAGAAGTCAGTGGTACAGATCTCATCTTTGCTGGGGAAATGCTGTATCAGCTATGGTCCTGCATTTGTAACGTAAAAATATTGATTTGCCAATTATTGTGAAGATTGCAGCCAAATAATATTACGCAGCACTTCCTATTCAAAGGCAAAAAGGTGCCAAGTACATGTTCTCATTCTTGTGTGCTTTGAAGCATCTTATTGACTTCAGACCTGAAACCCTGCACAGCTTTACAAAAAGTATATGAAGCACTTTTGAACTCTTGAGAGCTATACAGGTAGTCCTCGACTTACAACAGTTCGTTTAGTGACCATTCAAAGTTACGACGACACTGAAAAAAGGACTTATGATCCTTTTCACACTTGTGACCATTTCCCCATGGTCACATGATTGAAATTCAGATGCTTGGCAAGTGACTCGTATTTATGACGGTTGTAGTGTCCCCGGGTCACCTGATCACCTTTTGTGATGTTCTGACTAGCATAGTCAATAGGGAAGCTGGATTCACTTAACAACCAGGTTACTAACTTAACAACTGCACTAATTTGTTTAACAAGTATGACAAGAAAGGTCATAAAATGGGCAAAAGCTCACTTAACAACTGTCTCACATAGCAATGGAAGTTTTGGGCTCACTTGTGAAGTAAGTCAAAGATTACCTGTATATCAATCTTCTGTCTTTCACATACCTTCACTACTGTTCCTGTTCCCATTATCCCAAGCTAGTTTTGACAATTTGGTCTACAGTTTATGGGCTAAAAGCTGTCCAGATATAATAGTCCAGGGTAGCTAGAAGAATCCAGTTTGGGAAAGGTTACGCTATATGAATGGCAAGCTTTATTATTTGAATGACAAGCTTATTAGAACTAGATCCAGTTCAAACACACTAGCAGATAAAATATTATATAAAATGGGAGAGAAAGAGAGAGAAGCAGAAATCCCAGCTCCAAATTTTGGATCTGCTGGTGACTCCCACTAAATGAGATGCATTTTATTTGGACTTTCAGTTAGTTGCCTTGCTTCTTTATGTCTAGTTTTTTGTGTCCTTGTTAGAAGGGGGAAAGTGTTGATTTAAAATGTGTTTTGAAACCGAGAGAGGTTATTTTAGACTCACAGCAAGCTATTCCAATTATACCACAAACATTCTCAGTTTGAACCAGCCCTCATAGGATGAAACAGCCCATTTTGAACTCAAACTACTGCATTTGAAAAAAAAAAATATGTGCACTACTTGGATTGTCTAAATCAGATTGGCATGAAATGCAAAAGTGAAGATCTTGTCAAAGTTATAACCACTAAATTAGGTGATTGGGTATACCGTGTTCCCCCAAAATAAGATCAGGTCTTATATTAACTTTTGCTTCAAAAGATGCATTAGGGCTTGTTTTCTGGTTAGGTCTTATTTTCAGGGAAATGTGATACTAAATATGTCCATCTAGCTGATGATCTTAACTGGGGCTTATTTTGGGGGTGGGGATTATATTATGAGTGTCCTGAAAAAATCATGCTAGGCTTTATTTTCCAGTTGGGTCTTATTTTTGGGGAAACACAGTATCACTTCCTTTCAGCACAATGGTGGGTTGAAGGATTCAGTGTAGCTTTTCTCCTCCAACTTGAGGTTCTCCATATGTGTTGGGCTACCTCCAGGATTCTTATTTTGATTCTAATACATCTGGAAGGAACCGGTTTGGGAAAGGTTGCCAAAACCCCAAAGATGTCTTTATTTACAAGGCTGAGGAGGAATCTTTCTGATCTTGATAGCAACAATTCTATGAAGTTTTTCTGAAACTTTAAAATGGGAAGTATAGTGACTTTTAGACAACTGCCTGAAGAGGAATAGATGGAGCCTATTCTAACAATATTCTGACATGTTTGGTGACAACTTGACTACCCATAAAAGGTGATAATTTGAATGAATATCAGCATGGCATTTTGAAACCTGTATTTTGAGGAAACAAGGCCAGTTGAGGGAAGAGTGATTCATAAATCCATGTAAATAACCAGATTATATACAGGTAGTCCTTGACTTACAACCATTCATTTAGTGACCATTCAAAGGTATGATGGTATTGAAAAAACAGTGACTTATGACTGGTCTTCGCTCTTACAAGTGCTGCAGTGTCCTTGCAGTCACTTGATCATGATTCAAGAGATTTGCAACCAGCATGCTTTTTTTTACAATGGTTTTTTACATGTGATCACCATTTGCAATCTTCCAGCTGGCTTCTGACAAGCAAAGCCAAGGAGTAGAGCCAAATTCACTTAAAAATCTCATAATTTGCTTAATGACCATGGCAAAAGTGATCATGAAATGAGATGTAATAATGTGATGACTCATTCAATGACCCTATTGCTTAGAATTGGAAGTTCCAGTCGCAACTATGGTCATAAATCAAGGACTACCTATGTGGACTGTAGCACCCTTAGATCTAGTTGCTTAATGTTCAGACTTGCTTGCTGTGATCTGACTACTGTAATGCATATATCTAGGTATGATGCCTGTATTGCTAGACGCTATTGCTGGTTTTATACTTCCATTCAGCACCAGGGTTCTGTAAATCTAACACACCTGTATTTGTTGCTGGCGGTCTATAAACTGAATTAGCCATTTTGCACATACAGGATTCCCTTTTCCTTAATTTGGGCTGTAAGTGTGCTTAAGTGTGTTTGTGCAAAGGATTTTGTGCAAAAGTATTGTGATTACATGCACGCATGAAGAATTTTAAAAGCCAACTAAGAACTCAGCCAAAAAAGAGTGCTGCCATCATGCAGGTCGATTTCATCACCTGAAAAATTCAGCCCTTGAGTTCATTTGTTTTCTAAACTCAATCCCAGATTTTCATTCAGAGTTGTCAATCTGCTTTATTAATGGTAAGCTGTCGTGGCACTTAGCACTTTAAATCAAAAGGCTATGGATGCAGGCTTTTAGCATAGTTCGGTGATCACTGGGCAAATCAGCATGGACAGCTCCTTCTTCAAGAGAAAGAGGTCTTTTAAGTTGCACATAAAACCAGGCGCTCTGCTTTTATCGCGGTGGCCTTGCACTGCAGACACAGTCGCAACGTTCATGGTGCTCCAGTTGAATATCAATCAGTGCCATATTGTGCTTAGTTTTTCCCCTCCTCCTGAGGTGACCTGCTTCAGGGATAAATCTCAGCACCTAGTTAGATAAAAAACAAAAGGAATCAGAAGGTAATTAGAATATGTAGGAACCTTCTAGGTACATCACCTCACAATAATTTAGAAAGGTAATAATATTCTTCTTCAGGATTTGACTACATACTGATCTTGTGCATCTTTAGTTCAAGTTAAAAAGAATGTCAGAATGTTTAGTAAAAGTAATTTGTCTGTTCCCCGGTAATCATTCTTAGAAGAACAGAAGAGGGAGAAAGAAAAAGGGAGGAGAAGAAAAGAGAAAGGAGGAGGAGGAGGTGGTGGTGGTAATTGGGATAAAAAAATAAGGAGAGAGAGAGAGAAAGAGAGAGAGTGAAAGAGAGGGAGAGAGAGGGAGAGGGAGAGAGAGAGAGAGAGAGGGAGAGAGAGGGAGAGGGAGAGAGAGAGAGAGAGAGAGAGAGAGAGAGAGAGAGAGAAATGATGCTTAATTATTACAAAATCTCTGCGTGAGGCATCTTTTTCCACAACTGGAAAAGATAAGAGAAGATGTTTTTTTGTAACTATAACTAGTTTGGAATTTCATAATTTTCATTTTCACTCATCATTTCACCAATCTCTTCTTTGGGATATAAATAGGGCAAATTGGTAGTGGAGACAAAGATGCTTCTTTGTTAGAAACAAAGAAGAGTTTGGTTCTTTGGAAGTTTTAACCTGGTTTCCTGCAATGAATAAGGGATTAAATTTGGTGGATTCCTTGACCTATGATTTTAATCATCTCATCTCCAAAAGGAAACTGCATAGTTGAAAAGAAGATGGGTAAGGATAACCAAAATAGTCAAGGGACTGGAACAATCCCTCTATGAAAATGATAGCAGTTTTCGGACTTTGGTTAAAAGTTTGTATGTGTATGTGTGAAGGTAGCAACTATCAATGATCTTAGATGTGAGGCACAAATGCCAGGTCTAAAGAATTACTACAGTAAATAACTATGGAGCCCACAAGAAAACATTCTTCTCACAATCCCTTAATATATCAAAAGCCATATCAGTCCTGAATGTGGACCCATGATAATAAAACTGAGATGGAAAGTACAACTGGTATGCCAGGTTTATAGGGATATAAAATATTATGATGTCCTTATAGAATTGACAATATAGAAAAAGGAGAAAAATATGAGCCTGTCTAGAATTTCTGCCTTGTGACTCTACTGAAAACCCTGAAGGGTTTTACTTAGGTGCTTTCCTTTAGTGAAGAATTAACTTGACATACAAACTCCATCACTCTTTATATTTCTGTTCCTCTTCAAAAAAAAAAAAAAATCACCTTTTTGATTTACTAGTGAGGGTTGAACATTCCACTGAATGAATTGGTGATTTTTAAAATGAAGTTTATATGGAAATTAATTAAATTTGAGGCACAGAGTTGAAATTGTGTTGAGAATTGTGATTTATCATTAGGGTTGGATGATCAGGCTATTTTCAGTTATCTTAATTTCACAGGTAATCACTCTCTCGCATTCCTGTATTAATATATCTATGGCAACTGCCACTCTAAAGGACTTATTCTCACCCAGAAATACTGTATATGGGAACCTTATTTTGTAATATTACATAAGCAAGACAAAGGGATATTCTTTCAATGTCCCTTCAGCCTTTGGTGAGGGTTTTCCTTTGCTATTCCATCTTTCCTCTTTATGGCAATTATCTTTCAAGGCTGGCATTCCCTTTGCTCCTGGATCCAACTTGGTCTTCTTAGGCCAAATGGCTGGAACAAGTGATGGAGCATCTTACCCACTAGAGTCCATAGGCCAGAAGGAGTCCCAAGTAACTTGGTAAGACATGTCCCCTGTCACCACAATGGTTCTGCCCATAAAGAGTCAAAGTTGTGGTGAAGCTGAACAACTATCAGCAAAATGCTGTGCTAATTGGTCACAGCAGCCAAACTAGAGATCAGTTGTGTCAATCTTTTCCTAAAGTAAAGCTGGCCAGCACAAAGAAGGCTGCTGGAGAGTATTGCACTAACACAACAAGGACAAGTATATCTAAAAAAACATATTGTTTTTAGCAACATGTGTCTAGTAAATCAATGCAATATGTTGTTTATGAACATTTTGGACATGTAAGATTGAAAAAAAAATACTCAACCTGAAGAAAACTACATGTTATTTCAGTATTGACTAGTTTCCTTCCAGATCTGGAATAAACAGAATCTTATCCATTCATAATTAGGGACTTCAGTGTTACAGAATTTATAATAGTCTATAAAGTTCTGATAGTATAAGGCTGCCCAACTCAGACAGTATGACTCTGGGCAATGTACAAATAAAGACACAATAAATCAAAAAGGAGAAAAAAGAAATAAAACCATCTAGCAACAAACAGACAATATCTAAATACAAAATATAAAATGGTGACCGAGCAGGCAACAAAACAACCACAAGGTGGACTTCCACTCAACCTGGGCATAAACGTTGGTTATCTCATGGGCAGATAATTTCAGACATTTTTCATAGTTCTATCATACTCCTTACCATTTTTTAATGTTCTTCTCATCCTTCATTTCTCCAGGATATTTCTCACAATCCATAGCTTACCCTTTTTCTCTAGATGGGTAGGGACAGTTTCAGAGAAAGCAATGGTCCACAGCCTTCCTTTCGAATTTTATAACAATGCCTTTGGAAACTGAATAGTGGCATACTGGCATCGCAATATATCTAGTTATTATTTATTTATATTTTAATTAAAGACCAGTAGCTTTCACAAGTATTATCAACAAGACTTTCATGTGCAGGTATTTCTATCTTTCCTAACCATAGCGTAATTGTGACTTGCCTTTTTCTTGCAGCACAGTTCCTTCAAAACCTTTGAATGCCTGATATCAGTTAATAGCTACATGGGTAAAAACCACCACATCTGTAGCCCAGCTTCTCAGCTGGCCCTTTCCCCTCTTTAAGAAATTGAGAAAAGGGATTGTCATCTGCCATGTATGTAATGTTAATACTGAAGTACAAGTCCCTTGTGGAAATGGCATATCCTCCTGTTTAGATGGTTATATTGGTTCTAAGATACAAAGGAAGTCAGTGCAGATAGTTATAAAAAAGTGGCTAGATTAATATGGAGCAAAGGTAATGAAGGATAGTTTTTTTTAGAATACACACACACACACACACACATAATACATACATACACACATAGAAGGAGGAGGAAGTGGTAACTGGATAAAAAAGCAGGAGGAGGAGGAGGAGGAGGAGGAGGAAGAAGAAGAAGAAGAAGAAGAAGAAGAAGAAGAAGAAGAAGAAGAAGAAGAAGAAGAAGAAGAAGAAGAAGAAGAAGAAGAAGAAGAAGAAGAAGAAGAAGAAATGAATGAACCTTTCCCGCGTTCACATCAATCTTACCTTTGATGTATCCAAAAATAGATTTATTTTCACAGGTTCTATTAATATTAGATTTACGCTCATTGTACTGTTAATTCAGCAATAAAGGATACATATACAATACATCTAAATTTACCATTGCCAGGTCATTTGAAACTGAAGCTGGAACATCATTCTTAATTAATTTTCGTTTGTAATATCATAAGAATGGAAATAGCCCAATGGGTAAGTAAATTTCGTTTACTTTATATATTAAGCCCTGGAATGTAGGACTTTCCACATGGAACTGACCAAATAATCATTCCACTGGTTACTATCTGACATGTCAACAGGCAACAGAACTGTTAAAATTCAGTAGATTCATCATAAATTATATTAACCTTTGGCTACTGGGCAGGTATTCCATCTCCATTATGAAACTGGTATATTTTTTTCTCCCTGCTTCTGTTCAAACAATAAATTCCGCTTTTAGACATTTCTCCACATCTCTAGCCCAGGCAATCTGTTCAAATGCCAGTGGTCTGATCACACCCTGCTCCTAAAGTCAGTTCAGCAATCACATCACTGAGAGAGGAGCACTGAAGCATGGCGGCAGCCTTAGCCAAGCTGCCGCTCTGCCAAAGTTTATTTTAAATTGTATTTGTTTATTTTAACCATCATTCTCATGCTTTTTGTTCCTACACACTTGTTTAAAGATCCAGAAGCAAGACTAGGAGACAACTGCTATAGTAATTTCTTCCTTTACGCTATTACTTCAATGGATATAGAACAAAAGAGACTTTTTCTCATGCTTTATCTCATGAGAAGGAGGACAAATAGCCACTCTTTGCCTGCAATTTACAACAGTGCCAGAATGAGCTGCTAACCCCAATTATACCATTTCCTGACATAAGACCCTATCTTTCTCCCATTCCATTATTTAAATGATTGTATCCCTCAGGATTTTTTTTTAAAAAAGAAAACACAATATCAGCTGTCACAGTGCTTTGGCATAAAAATTCACAGTGCTTTGGTTTTGTCCAAACGTGCATTTATCTACTGACATGGGAAATATCTTAGTTAAATGAGTGTCAAGAAGGCAGCACTAAGAAATGTTACAGATAGTCCTCAACTTACAACTATTCCTTTAGTGACTGTTCAAAGTTACAATGGCACTTTAAAAAGTAACTTAGGACTGTTTTCATACTTAGGACTGTTGCAGCATCCCCACGGTCACATGATCAAAATTCGGATGCTTGGCAGTTGGTTCATATTTATGATGGTTGCAGTGTCCCAAGATCACGTGATCACTTTCTGTGACCTTTTGACTAGCAGAGTCAATGGGAAGGCAGATTCACTGAACAACTGTGTTACTCACTTAACAATTGCAGTGATTCACTTAACAACTGTGGCAAGAAAGGTCATAAAATGGGGCAAAACTCACTTAACAACTGTCTCGCTTAAAAACAGAAATTTGGGCTTCAATTGTGGTCATAAGTCAAGGATTACCTGTACCTATCTTCATCTCAGAAAAAAAAGACAGTTGACGTACATACACTTTTAAAAAAGATATAAAAAGCAAGATACCTCATGATACTTCTTCACCAGTTTTCCTGCCGTACAAGCGCATTTCCCATGTGTAGTTCCGCAACCACAGTTTCCTCCACAGCGCTGGACAAGGAGGCAGCGAGGGAAAAAAACGGCACTGGTTTGCTTCAGCTCCTCCCTCACGTTGACAGAGTAATTCCTTGGAGTGCAACTATAACGCTTTGCCTCATCGTTGAGCCTGTCTAAATCAACTGAAGTAGGCCAAAGGGAATGGAAAAAGAGAACGCACTTGTAAATAAAATACCTGTTTCCCCGTAGAAGTCAATGCATCAATCAATCTCTGGCCTAAATTAATTTTGCAGATTTTCATTACAATTCAGCCCCTGCCTCCATCTGATGGTTGGCTGTGCAGATCTTTGAATGGTGGCTTTGTTTGATGAAAATCTAAGCAAAACTGTCTTTTTTAAAATAATAATAATAGTAGTAGTAATAATAATAATAATAATAATAATAATAATAATAATAATGACGTATTTTTAAAAGAAAAGAAAAAAATACATTAAAAATTACAAAAACTGCAATAACATTGGCAATAGCATTTAGGCTGATGTACCTTGAGCCACATCAGGATCAAACTCCTGGCAGTGGACAGAGTTAGCCTGCAATACTGCACTATAACCACTGCACCACCAAAAATACAAATATTTGCATGGAAAGGTTTGCAAAATAATAAAGATTAAAAGAAAGTAGAAATTACTGCATTGGAATAAACATCTCACTTTATGGTGTCTTTATATACCAGCTTGGATTAAAATAATAGACAGGTGTGTTTACAGCAATTTAATGTTTTTAACATTTTGAAAATTGCTTTATTTATCTATTATTAATATAAAATTGTAGATTATCTGAGAGTGCTATCCAATAAAAAAAATAAGCAATCATAATTAAAGCACTTAGAACCTTTATTTTAAGAGAGACCAAATCTTGGTTATGGCACCAGCCCATATACAGAATTGTGGAGTCCAACAATCAAGTTAGAGAGCACTCAGGACTGCGTAAGTGCTGCATGTGTTTTTTTATATTGGTACCATATATAGAATTATACTTTATCAATGACTTCCAGATGAAGTTGAAGCTAACATCAAACTTTGTTTTCACATAATTTTAGGCACCGATTCATGCTTCCATAGTTTAAGCTGCCATTCATTTAACAAAGAAATTAATGTGATTTCCACTTAAAAGCCAACAATTATCCTTTATAAATACTATGTGTGTTATAAGTATATGACCTTTAATAACAGACAGATGAAAAAGGAAAGTCAGTATTTATAATTTTTCACCCTTCATCCTATAATAGATCACCTTCCAGAAAAGTTGAACTTTGGAACATATCTGATCTGATGAGTATATTAAGCTGTTAGGACATTATTTATTTTTTTCTGTTAGGATAGACATAAAAAAAATATAATTAATTTTGAATAAATTGGCCTGCATGATTCAACACCTTTCTTTAAACAGTGTTTCTCAACGTTGACAATTTTAAGGCATGTGGACTTCAACTCCCAGAATTCCACAGCCAGCAATGCTGGCTGTGGAATTCTGGGAGTTAAAGTCCACATGCCTTAAAATTGTCAAGGTTGAGAAACACTGCTAAAAGCTCCCTGAAAGTACACTGCTTCTAACCTGTTAAAAGGGAAACTTAGATAATTGATTCCAGTCCTTGGATAAGGGGAGGATTCCAAAATCCAGCCTCTCAGACTAGGGACATCTAGCTTCTTCATTAACATATTCAATGAAAAGGAATCTATCAACTCTCCAGGCAACTGGTCTATTGCTCATCCTATTATGAAGTGTTTTTTGTTTTTGCTCCCTAACAATCAGAATCCACCTTCCTGTAACTTATTGCCTATCCTGTCTTCTGGAGTCTTAACCTTCAGATATTTGAAGAAAACATGTCTCCTTCATTTTAGTCTTCTCAGGGTTAAATGTTTCCAATTCCTTCAATTCCTGTTCAAAGGACTTATTTCCATTCCGTAATTGTCCTTACTGTCATCTGAAGTTCTTCTGTCACATCCCAGGACTCAGCACAACTCTTAAGGGGGAGATTGGTCGAAGCAGAATGGAAACCATTACTCCCTACAATTTGGGAACATTACTTATGGTTCATATCCTAAAATTATATTTACTTTTTTTGCAGCCAGATCACATTTTTGACTTATGTTCAATCAATTGATTCAAAGACTTTCTTTTCACAAGTAGCATAGTTATGCCATTTATTTTCCTTCGTATTACAGCTTTCAATTTATGTTTCTATGTTAAATTTTGTTGTTTTCAAAATCATTTTGAATTTTATTTTTCTCTATTAGTGGAAAAAATGCAACAAATGGATAGAAAGTGAAGGATGAAGCTATGTGCTTAAGCTACATCTGAAAAATATTTTGATAATTTTCTCCAAAATGGCTCGCCTAATTTATATGCCCATCAAAAGCACAATTTTCTCTCAAAATAAATAGGCTGTTAAAATGTATTTGAATATGCTAATATAACTTTATGGTAGCATTGAAAACCAGAACTGCAATTTCTGCTGGAAACCTACATGTCAGTTTTGACAGATTAATTTGATAAAGAAATCAGCACCCATCTGATTTCTCAAGGACCTCTGCTTGTCAGGTAAACATTCTGTCGAATGGAATACTCAATGAAAAAAGTTAAAATAAACAGAATGCTACATGTTAAGAAGTCAATAGCTAAGATTATTTAAAAAAATACTAAATGTGATTCTTATGAATTTAAAAGATTAATTCAACAAAAGATTCTCGTATTTATTGGATGTCTCAATATTTAGTGAGCTGTAATTCAATTAGAATTTTTATAACTTTTTTCAATTCAATAAACATATAAAATGAAAAAATAAGAAAAAGGAAGAAAGGAAACATAGAATTATGACTTTGAATCTTCTTTCTATTAATTGCTATCTTATTCTTATGTTTCTCCATTTTATTCTTATTTTCTTGGACCCTTTTAAATCTCCAGATTCATAAAACGTCTTATTTAGTATTTTTTTTCTTTCAACAAAAAGTTCATATAAAAGAGCTAGTTTGGGCTAGTGGTTAAGACACCAGGCTAGAAACTGAAGAAACATGAATTCCAGACCTGCCTTAGCCATGAAAGGCAGCTTGGTGATTTTGGGCCAATCACTTTTTGTCAGCCCAACCCACCTCACAGGGTTGTTGTCATTGTTGTGGAAAAACAGGAGGACAAAGCTATATGGGTATATTTGCCTTCTTGAGTTATTTATAAAAAAAAGAAGAAAGCTTCCATCTTTTTTCCCCCCCCTCTGGCAAAACTGGTCAGCTTCACCATTTTTGCAAGTTCCATGAATTTTATAATCCAAGCTTTTACTGTTCAAATTTCATTATTCTTCCATCTCTGTGTGAACAAGAAACTTCCTACAGTTTCCATATGCAACAGCTTCCCCTTTTTCTTTTCTAGTTGCACATCCATAAAATGCAACATAAACAATTCTGGTTTCACTGTAATATTAATCCGCAATAACTTTTGCATCGTTGTATGAATGTGCACCAAGCAAAGTGGTTTAATTTTCAAAATAGCTATGTCAGAAGTGTAAAATGGTGATGGTGATGATGATATTGAGGCAAGACATGATATGGTCTTGCCTCAATATCATCCTGCTTTTAGTTTAATATTCATATTTTTGCTAATATGGTTTTTAGAAGAGAAATGTTGTAAAAATGAAAAAGTGATTCTGAGTTACATATTCAAAATTTGGAATTTATCATTAGGTGAAGAACCATGGATTTACCAAGGATGGATGTAGGAAATAGATTCTTAGAAATAGAAAACAATGCCCTATACTTAAAACTTTGGACTGGTAACATGAATTTAAGATTTATCTTTCTATTCATGTAACAGAAAAACTGATAATTTTGTCCTTATTCTTTTCTTCTTTCATTTTTTTGAGTGAATTTCACAATTTTACTTTGTAAGTGAATTAGTGTTTGGTATGGAATATGGTTACTTAATCAATGTTGCTTTTAGTTTAAATAAATGATTCTAGATTTCTGTTTTCAAATTCTCTATTAATGGCATGCAGGAAACTTCTGGTGGAAATGGTAGTGATAGCTAAGGAGGACTTTTAAATGATCCAAAGATGAAATTACAACTTATGTACTAAATCAGCAGTTCTCAATAGCATCCAGTCACGTGTTATGGGTTTTTTTAGTGGATAATATTTCTGAGATTACAAACAAGATTCTGCATGAAATCTTGAAAGAGAATTCACTGACCAGATTACATTTTTGTGATTTGATGCAAGATCTCAACAGTAAAAATTCTCAATACTTTTAGGCATTCTTTTATATGTGGGAATGGATGCCCAAGCTATCAGAACAGTTAAATCTCATATCAAATATATGAATGTTTAAGAATACCTTATATGTCCCCTTTTTGCTATTTAAGGTCTGGTGTGCATAGCAAAAAGGAAGGATAATAGAAAACTATTGATTATTACCCTTAACAGGTGAAATTTAATGCTCTGTCATTCATCAAATACTCTGCCTTTCATGTCTGGCCATTCTGGCTCATTCTATTTATGAGGAAGAAAAGCTTTTTAATGAGAGATTAATTTTTCACTGTTAGTAATTGTGGGAATATCTAACACCAACTCAGTTTTGAAAGCTATGGTGCTGGTAACTGACAAGTTGCAAAGGTAAAGAAGAGTATAAGAACTACCACTCTAAAATGAAATTAGTGAGAAAGAGAGAGGGATTACCTCCTTAAAATATTTAGAGGCAAAACAATGAAATCCGGTTTCAAAATAAATATTTAAAATAATGCTCTTTAAGTATGTTGAAAAGCTACAGGAGTCATTGAAAACAAATGCAAATGTTGTATCAATCAATTATCGGATAAATATCAACCCCACAAAGAGAGATTTTATCCTTTATGAGTAATTCACCAGACAGGGAACTGTTAGATTACAAGTCCCATAGTTCCTATTTCGAAATACTGGCTAGGAATTATGGAAGTTAAAACCTGCAAGATTAGAAGGGACCAGCCTCAGGAAATATGGAAGATACACAGATGTGAACACCCAGTCACATACACACAAAGCCTTATGACCTTGCAGGAAAATGTCTATTACTTCCATAAGATTTTGAAAGTCATTTGGCATCTTGCAAGAGTTGGTTTTTAAAAACATGAATGGGACCATCACATGCACATGTATAAT